CTGTTGAATGGTTCCGTTAAAACACGATAAAAAAAATTATATCAGGATAGATGTGTGTCTTTGCACCAAAACCTGATATATTGATCAGTGTTTTCGTATGAATATCCCAGGATAATTATATCAACTTTATAGGATCATACAAGTTTTAAACGGTATTGTAAAATATGTACATTTTTTTCGATTCAAACATACGACTTACAATCATAGAGGTATAAGAATAGAGGGAGCTATCCCCATGTAACTCTGTACTGTGAGATGTTTCCACGTGCGAGAGAGAAAGCTGCAAGAAGGCCCCTTCTATTATCGTTCTCTAATTGGGTGAGCATGCGCAGTAAGGCTCTCGTCTCTCGTCTCTCGTCTCGACTCTCGAAACTGTGGAATTCTTCTCCCTCTCCCAACCGTTTGGTTAGAGAGAGATAGCAAGAGGGGGCCTTCTTGCACCTTTCTCTCTCGCTCCTGGTAACACACTGGAAGCCTGATCACTCCCTCTATTCTTATACCTCTATGCTTACAATTGTTTATAGGTTTTTTTAGGGAGAGTATAGAGCTGACACAAAATTGTTTCATGTCGTTTAAGATTAATTACATTACCAAATTATTTATCAGGATCCACTAAATTATTACGATACGTGTAATATGATGTTATAACGTGCTTATTATGTTTCACACATGATCATACTCAAATATTTTACCTGTAATTATACGGTCAGCTAATTAATATACGTGACTGAAAATTTAATATTTTTNAGAAAAAAATTATTACATTAATACACTATTTTAACATTTAAACATATATTTTCAGTCTAAAAATACTTTATTAAAATTTAGAATAATCATTTGTAAAAATAAAAAACGTATTAAACGTGCCTTTCTTCGCGGCTTGCCTATGACTAGACTATCTTTACATATATCTTATGTGTTTTTACGTACTTAAGAGCCTCAATATAGAGCATATCTCAATTACTGAGTATTTATTTAATGTAATATAGTTTATAAATTTTAGTATGACAATTATTATTATTTATCACGTACTTACGTAACTTTATAATAATTACCACCCTGAAAATTAAATTTGAAAGATTTTACCGCGAGTTTGAATCGAACCGGAGTCAACAGGTATTTGAATCCGATGTGTTACCGCTGAGCTATGGCAACATTGGATTCGAATGAAGAAAAACTGATATAAATCGTTTAACTGATATAAATGTACCTACGTCACGCGGGAGTCCATCGATATCTTGTGAATCCGTTACATTGAAGCACACGTTAGAACGTGTATTTCACAATTGTAGTTGTTTGTTTAATATTTACACAATATTTTGGCAAGCTTAGCTCCGTGGGCCCTAAGACAAGAAGTTTCATGTTGACATTGTCAGTCATATCCGCATTGAATACCAAACCAGTAGAAATTAGACGAGAATCATATAATAACATCATATGACACCATTTAAAGATTAAAATTATAAGAACATAATGTGTGTATTTGCACCTGACATATTTTATAAGACCTTATATACCGAGAATACATTAAAATACTAAGAAAAAAATAATATACATGAAGTTAAATGTATATGATCCTATATAGTTTATGCATAGTTATTTGCTTGTAAGACATGATACAAATGTATAAAGAATTTTCTTCTATAAACTTATCAGAAGTGTATCAAGAAAAACCTATGTCATAAAGTTGGCGTCATTAAATAGGGATATTTAATTCTGGACGGGTAATACAAACAAGTCGAAAAATTGTAAATAAACATCAAGGTTTGCCATACGCAACCATCAGAAAATAATCTATATAAATTAATATGTACAACTATTTTATAAATTACCATACGTAATTGTTATCCACATATAGGTATACTCGTATTTCGTTCCGAATCATGGTAAATATTTTTACATCATATACACCGATACATTGGGAAGACAAAAAATTTACTGATAAAATATTATACCTCGCAATTTTATGTCCAGTATACTCAAAGAAATTTATATCAGGTTTTATCATGTTGTACCGAAACCATTTAACAGGGTTCCCACCTAAAAAAGGATGACAAAATTCTATACGTAATTTGCTTCAGAAAAATCGTACGACATATGTGGTATTACATATGAATTTACATAAGGGGTTGTGGAGTGGTAATGTTGTATAAGTAATTCCATTTGGGAAAAAAAGATTTACGAAAAGAAAAAAAAAAAAATTTCGTAATCTAGAAATAACTAAAGTACCTTGAAGCGTGGTTTCTCACGTGAGATCTGACGTCAAATTCTCACATGATTTAACGAAAAAATTTTATTTTGAAAAATAATTGCCTGAAATATAATTTAACCCGAATTTATTGACTACAATCAATATATGTTACCATCCGTATGACAACACTAAAACTGGGGGACTGAAGTGATTTATATGAAATTTAGAAAAATAAAATATTTTTTTCAATGTTCCAAATTAAACATAAAACACTTTAATCCCCAAGTTTTGGTGTTGTCATACGGATGGTAACCCCTATTGAGACGATCACGTTAGAAATCACGTGACTTTCCAGTAGGGACCACCCAGATGATAACTTTAAAACAAGGGGGTTCAGCTGATTTTTTTTTCTTCAATATAAAAAAAAAATTTCAATTTCTTTTTTGTAATTTTTGAAATAGTACGTGAACCCCCTTGTTTTGGAATTATCATCTGGATGGTTGCACTACTTGATAATAGTAAATAATGCGTTACGTTACTCTGCAGTTATTTCTAGATAGCAAAAGTTTTTCTCTCTTCTAACATGTACTTCTGTGTTTTTCTGTAGGGAAATCTACACGGCATAAACAATATAAAACCTCTTCCGTAAGGCTATACCTTAAACCACATGTAATGCCGCATGGCTTTCCTGTTTCCTGACGCAATTACACGTAGAATCAGAATTTCTCACGAATTTCAGTATTAATTATTTTCTGAATCTAGACCCCTGATTTCTGTTGTAATTTTTTTCACACAGTTTTTTGATGCCATTTTTATCACAAAAATAGTTACTGAAGATGCAAAAATTGAATAGTATCCCGTTGACCCCAAAACGCTTTCTGTTGCCTAAGACCTTCGTGACGAATACATAAACAGCCTTCCCTTAAGGTGGCTCCAGTGGCCTCAATGTTAAAATTATAAATAATCCAACCGAGGTTAATAAAATTGAATTATATTCTTTGAATTCCCATCTTTCTATTCGTATAAAAAAAAATTAAGGTTGATGATGAAAATTGTAAGAAATCATGCTTACAAAATCGTAGTTTTAAGACGGGTTAGATAGGAAATGCAAGCTTACGCGATATACAACCTACTGCTGCACTTATATTAATAACCCGTAAGGTGTAAAAAACATACTATCTTGTATATATTATTACGCAGTTTTCGATGACATGAGAAAAGTATCTTGTTATCGAACAAAATCTTTAAATAATCGGAGACTAAGTATACAGTTGCGAGTGCAAGTCAGCTCTCAGCTGTCTGCATTCTGCAGAGTACATATATATAGGTATAACTACTCTTGAACTTAGGAGCGTACTGTAACAGTTCATCAATTAGGGCACCATGAAACTTTTTTGTTTTTTTATATTAACTCACTAAAGTAACAGATAAAATGTAGAATATGGCTTACAACAGTCTCTACGATAATTTTATACTCGATTTTAAAGAAAATAATGATTAATTTTTAGTCTCCCCATTTTGATACGGCACTAGGCGCTGGAGCCACCTTAAGCTGGAGAGGACACAAAAAGTACGGGTTTTATTAATTTCATTCTATTTTCGGGATTTTTTTTCCAACTTTAAGCATCACAACTATTCTTGTAATGAAAATGGTATCAAAGAATTCTAGGAAAAAAAATTATGATACAAATGAGGGGTCTAGATTTATAAAATAATTTATTTGAAATTCACGAAAAACGCTAATTTCATGTTTTTTTTTAGCTGGGTTCTGATAAGATCCAATGCTTTTATGCTGAAAAATTTGGTTTTAACGTTGGCCGCGATCGTGAACAGTTTGATGCCGTTCGCCAATTTCACTGCGTGAAGTATACTAAGTACATACTTAACGAGATGCGCTATACTAATATCCCTTTTAATAAACGTCAGTTGATATGTCATGTGAGATACCCCCTCTTCCCCAGCCCAAGAAAGTATTAAAAAGAAAAAAAAAAAATTCAGTTAGAAAGAACAAAAAATGCACCCTCTGATTACACAGTTTGTTTAAATTGAACCCTCATAAATTTTGTAGAAAAAAATTATTACCAGTTACCAAGTTGTCTTGTTTTAAACCTCCGATATCTTTGGAAAACACTTCTTTTTCGATACAACGTTGGCTTATAAAAAATGAACCTTTTCTGATTTAAATTGAGCTTATCTTACATTTGCAAATATTAGCTTAGTTTTTTTATTAACAATTAATACATAATACTGGTCTAAAAGCTAACCTCATCTCTATCATGTTTATCAACTGCGCATGCGCTCTGGGGGCTTGTGTGCAGTTGATATACATGATAGAGATGAGGTTAGCTTTTAGACCAGTATTATGTATTAATTGTTAATAAAAAAACTAAGCTAATATTTGCAAATGTAAGATAAGCTCAATTCAAATCAGAAAAGGTTCATTTTTTATAAGCCAACGTTGTATCGAAAAAGAAGTGTTTTCCAAAGATATCGGAGGTTTAAAACAAGACAACTTGGTAACTGGTAATAATTTTTTTCTACAAAATTTATGAGGGTTCAATTTAAACAAACTGTGTAATCAGAGGGTGCATTTTTTGTTCTTTCTAACTGAATTTTTTTTTTTTTCTTTTTAATACTTTCTTGGGCTGGGGGAGTGGGGGTATGTGAGATGACATCTGACACATCAGCTGATAACCTAAAGCTACCCCTGCCGAAATGAATAGAAGAGAATGAGCACTCTATATTTTTTATGTCTATGGTTGCATTGAGGCCGTGAGTTGTGACGTGTAATTTCGATATTACCAGCGGTTGCACATGTGTAATTCCAATCTGTCATTATAATTATACAAAAAAGAACCGTTAAAAGTCTAGGTAGTGACGTGAACAAAAATTTTCAAAATTTGGGTTCTATATTTACATTTAATATAGTGGCGAGATGTTGACGAAATTTGAAACCAAATCAGCTCGAGTAAAAGGCCTCTCATTTCATTCCAAACGACCCTGGATTCTAGCTAGGTGACAAATTTTTGTACTCTTCATGATTAGCATTATATTAAGAGCTTGAAAATTTGATATCTGTGACATAATTATTTAAAATTTTTGAAATCAGTTAAAGCAAAAATAATTCGTATATACCATAAAGGCGACGTTTTTGTGTTATATTTTCATTTGTTGATTGTAATACTCGCTTTGAGTTGTTCAATTTTTTTATCAACACGTTTGCTTATTCTTATTTCATGTAACGTAATACCCATTCTATGAGAATTTTGTTGTGTTTTCTCATTGTCAACTTGATTAGTTTTTACACAAATTTTAAGTCAGTCTCTCCCATCTAACAATGTATAAACGAGCAAACTAGATGTTTAGTAGTATTGTAAAATCCTTATTTCTTCAACCTGTATTTTTTGCTCGATAGTACTAAAGGTGTAAAAGTAAATATTTTACCAATAATAATATTTAAGTACTTGCAACAATAAAACTGATTCTCAGGATATTTGTCAAAAATTTTAATTTTTCAAGTCTTATTTTATTAATTCACTACTTTTGAAAAAAATAATACTGTCCCATTTAGTTTGTATCAAGTTTAGGTGATTTGACTATTTTTTGTCAATTGATTTTAAATATTTTTTAGCTTTTGTAGCTCACTTCAAGTAGAGAAAATGTTTGTAAAACAATACAAGTACATGATGTACCATACCAAATTTTTTACATACAAAGTCAAGTTTACTGTTTTATACATAATCATGCAATTGTATGTAAGTTTATTTGTGTAAATACCTAAAAAAGGTCACTTCTAAATTCTTTCAAAAGAGTGTAAGACATTTGCATAAAGATTTGAAGAGATGCTGACACTCATCGAGTGCTAAAGTTTTAGACACTACACTTTTACTTTAGGTTTAAAGTAGGATATCAACTGTTATCTATATGATGTAACACTTAAGCTGTTTGTCTTGAAAAATATAGAATAAACATAAGAGCATTTAGATAATTCAACAAAGCCAGGTTTGGGGAAAGGAACCTCTGTCATATGGACATACAATCTCAAGTGTCCTTATTAAACTACAAATTTCATATGTTTTAGTTCAGAAAAATAAAATAAAAGTTTTACCATTGTGAGGTTTTTTTTTTTTTTAACTTATCGTTTCCCCTAAAGGGCTCAGACATGGCTATTTTGACACCAGATATTCTAGCTTTACGTTGGTTAATTAATAGTAAGTAAACCGGTAGGTAAATCGGTGGGATTTTGATGCTCAAATCCCATTCAGAAAAACCTCATTTTTAATGAAAATTTTTGTTCAAAGTGGGATTTGAAACCTGGTCATCAAGATCTGTAGGCAGGCACACTATCGACAGAGCCACCATGTGCCTATTTTTGAAAAGTACCAGCGTTGGCCACGATGGTCAAAAGTTTGCTGCCGACCGCAACCTTCAGAGCGCTTCTTTATCAGCGCCATCGCCAGCCAAGCTGTGAACTATCGCTGATGTATACATATGATGTATATATCTACCAGCGCCTATCACCCGAGACCCGATGACTCGGGACCCCGGGCGCTTACTGGCCACTCTATAGATTAATAAAATGTTAATTAATAACCCAAGGGCCTATCACCAAGTGACCCAGGGCTCTTACTGGACACATTAAAAAATAATAAAATGTTAACTTATAACACAAGCTCCTATCACTCAACAACCCAAGGCGCTTACTGGCCACATTACAAAATAATAAAATGTTACCTCATAACACAAGTGCCTAATACCCAATGCCCCGGGGCGCTTACTGGCCACGAAAATAATTAATAAAATCTTAAATTATACAAGCGCCTTTGACCCGATGACTCAGAGCGCTTACTGGCAACTCTAATAAATAGTAAAATTCTAAATAATAACACTAGCACTTATCACCCAATAACCCGGGGCGTTGACTGGCCGCACTATTAAATAATAAATCATTAACTAATAACACGATCGTCTATTACCAAATATCCTTGTCAAATTTCACAATGAATTGAAATATTAAATTGATGACATCGCAACCCTATAAAATGGTACCTTTTGGACGCTACATTTCCATATATCAGTACAAAGAAAAAGTGTTTTAAGGGATGTACCATATCATTGTTCCAGTGTAATTAAGGCCCATTAATTAATGACTAATAAATTTCAAAATTTATTTAAGATTTCTTAATCGTTATTATACGTTGCATCAGAGTCGTTGCGTTTCTAACAATTAATATTATTAATAAATAATGGACAATCGCCCTTACTAATATCTTTCTATATGATAAACTAATGAGAGCTTTCGTATTAGTGGTTTATTATTTATTTTGTTCAACTACATACTCGTCTGAAAATTNTGAAAATAAAAGTTTTAATAATAAGTTATCTTTTATTTTTTGTCGATTAAAAAAAAAAATTTGTGAGAAACGTTATGAACGTGAAATAATTGTAATTTTTGTGTGTGTATTGTTTGACCCATTAGTGGGACAGACCTTCGTGGACTAGCGGTATACCGGAATAATGGTGGGAAAGAAGCCTTCATCAGTGCGAGATGCATTGTGTTCACTCGATTGATTATCACTGGTGATTGGTAAATAATCCGTTTCTTTAAACAAAAAAAATATGTTCATATTTATTTATTTTAAAAAGAAATTCTGCTTAAAACAGCAAGTTACTTAAATATGTAAGAACTTTTTGCATTTTCTTCATCTAAATTAGTACGTTCCATGAGAGAGGGTTGTTTGTTTGAAGAGTGACTATCAGCAGTGTCGACGTTTTCTGGAATTATTTCTATAACCATTGCTGCAATGAGTTGACCAGATTCATCTTAAAATGAGTAGTCTTGACAATTTGTTAAGTTGATATCTCTTGAAGTATCATCAAGGAAATCCATGCTTTCGATTGCCAATGGAGTGTATACCTTATCGTGTGTGTTGTCATATCTTGAGAAAGACATGTAATTCTCTACCTTACTATTATCATTTGTAGTTGTATCTATTGTTTCAGGTAGCTTATTGTCGTTATCATTACTCGAACTTATATGTATAATTCACCTTTGTATTCTAATAAATGTAAAAATTAATCTTAAAAAAATAAAATCTCGATTTGTTATTGAAAAGTAAAAACTTTTTATTAAAAATAAATTTTTTTTTTTCGTTAATGAAAAAAAACCTAAATTATTATTAGACCATGACTGTAAAAGTTAGATAAAAACAAAAAATTTTTTTTTCAAAATTTGTTAAAATAAAATAAAATTCTAACTATTATACAAAGATCTTACCAATGTTGCTGAAAAAACATTTTTTTTAAAATTTAGATATTAATCATGAAAATTAGAAATACTGCAAAATTCCTACAATTAATATTATTAATAAATAATGGACAATCGCCCTTACTAATATCTTTCTATATGATAAACTAATGAGAGCTTTCGTATTAGTGGTTTATTATTTATTTTGTTCAACTACATACTCGTCTGAAAATTGTTTTTCTTTAATTGTAAATAGAGCCCTCGGATATCAGGTGGTAGGCGCTTGTGTTATACATTAACGTTTTTTAATCAACAGAGTGGCCAGTAAGCGTCCCGGGTCATCGGGTCATAGGCACTTGTATTATTTAAAATTTTATTAATTATTTTAGTGGCCAGAAAGCGCCCCAGGTCATTAAGTGATACGCGATCGTGTTATTTTTTAAGATTTCACTATTTATTAGAATTACTAGTAAGCGCCCCTAGTCATCGGGTCATAGGCACTTGTATTATTTGTGATTTTATTAATTGTTTTGGTGGCCAGTAAGCGCTCCGGGTCATTAGGTGATAGGCGCTTGTGTTATTAACGAACATTTTGTTTATTTGTAGAGTGTCCAATAAGCGTCCCGGGTCATTTGATGATAGGCACGTGCGTAATTTTTTAGGGTTTTACTATTAATTAGAGTTGCCAGTAAGCGCCCCAAGCCATCGGGTCATAGGCACTTATATTATTTAAGATTTTATCAATTCTTTTAGTGGCAAGTAAGCGCCCTAGGTTCCGAGTCGTTGGGTGATAAGCACTTGGGTTAATAATTTATTAACATTTTATTAATTCATAGAGTGGCCAGTAAGCGCCCCGGGTCATTGGA